CATGGGCTGAGGGTTCTGCAGGTACGACATCACCACAGCAGAGATGGACAGCCTGAGACCAGAAAGAGGTGTCAGTCAGGATGGGTAGGCTTGGGTCCTCCCTCCCCTTACTCATGAGTCCCTCCCTCTCTAGGCCCAGCCTCACATGAAGCTACTCATCATTTGTTTAGTGTCCTCAGAGCTCCGGGAGTTGGCAAAGCTGATGAAAGAGCAGTAGACAGCGACCCAAGCGCACCACTTCAGCTGAGAAAAGGTATGTGGATAAGTGGGTTAGGTTAGTGGAAGACAAGGGGGATTCCCTTGCACCGGTTCCAACCCACTGGTTTTAACTGGAGCAGCTCAAACCTTGTCCCCCCGCCTCCCAGGAGTCCCTCAATCTTATCCACCCATAGCCTACCCCAGGTACAGTTTTTGGCCCTGCTCCCTGGCCAGTGCCTCTGACCTCACCATGTCACCTCAGGCTTAAAGACTAGCCTTTGAGATACACCATCATGCTAAGGACCCCACTCGTTCTTCACAATCCCCTCCAAGTTGTTTTACAGTCTGGCCCACCACCAACCTCCCACATACCTACCCTGACCCAGATCCCTGACTTCCCCAAAGCTTTGGCTTTCTCGGCCACCCCAGCCCCGCCCCCTCAGCGCCGGCCCAGCTACATTCCCATTCCGCCGGCGGCCTCGTTGCCCCGCAGAGATACGCAGCCCTGCCCACCTTGAGCATGAGGCCGCACATGCTGAAGATCATGCCAAGCAGGTTCATGTAGTCCGGCGTTGGGTCGTCCAAGGCCGGGTTACACTCGCTCGGCGGAGGCTTGTACCTGCGGCAGTATCGAGGGTCAGGGGCACTCACGTCCCGGGACCCGGATGCACAAGCGCTTCCCTGGGCCCCGACCCATAACCGTAGTCCCGTTCTCATGACGCTGGGGTCCTTACCTCAGCACTTTGTTCGGCCTCCGCGGGTCCGACATATTATTCGTGGACATAGCGAGTTGGAAATCGCAACTCTTCCGCTGCCGGAGTTGCCCCTTCCGGCGTAGAAACGGAGGGTACTTTTTATAGTAACACCCGCAGCCCTCGCGCTTCTGTACCTAGTGGCAGGGGGCCAGGAAGTGGGGGAAGAAACCTGGAACCTACAGGCAGCCTTCAGTAATTGTATTTTCCAACATTTACTTCCAAAAAGCCGAAACTTTGAGCCCGGAAGTAGGACACAGGAAGTAGACCGCGGGGACAAAAGTAAGGTTACACCCAGCGACTAAGGCTCGGAAACCTCAGTACTGACGGCTATAAGGCGGCAAGGAAGGGATCCCGGAGCGATGTCTTTCCCTGAGCCAAAGCCGCGGGGTCCGGAGCTGCCGCAGAAACGGTTGAAGACGCTGGACTGCGGGCAGGGAGCGGTGCGAGCTGTGCGATTTAATGGTGAGCACCATCTTCATTCCGAGTCCGCCTCCGGCCCCCTGAGGTCTGAGGCCCAGTAACCCCAGCCTGGTCTTCCCCAGTGGATGGCAATTACTGCCTGACGTGCGGCAGCGACAAGACCCTGAAGCTGTGGAACCCGCTGCGGGGGACGCTGCTTCGGACCTACAGTGGCCACGGCTACGAGGTGCTGGACGCGGCCGGGTGAGCCGGGGCCAGCCCAGGAAAGGGGCATTGAGGCGGGGATCGGAGATCGACGCTGACCTTCCCTCCCCTGCCCTGTAGCTCCTTTGACAATAGCAATCTCTGCTCCGGCGGCGGGGACAAAGCGGTGGTGTTGTGGGATGTGGCATCCGGGCAGGTCGTGCGTAAATTCCGGGGTCACGCAGGGGTGAGTACAAGCAGAAAGAAGCCTCATTAGAGTGTGGATAGGGGAGGGGACCCGCATAAGTGCGCAGGCGGTGACAGGTAGCCCCCCCACACACACACACATTACAACGCATTCACTAGGCCCTGTCCTTGCAGTACCCTCAAAACCTTTCACCTCCCCTTCCCCTAGTTTTTGTCCTCACTTTAATCTGCACTTGGAACCCTGCCTTTATCCCAGTCCTTTAAAGTCCAGCCACCTCTAAGTGGCAGTTCCTGTTTCTCAGAAGGTGAACACGGTGCAGTTTAATGAAGAGGCCACCGTCATCCTGTCAGGTGAGTGTGGGGCATACGCAGGGGAGCCCATTGTGCTGCCCCTGTCCCCCAAATCTGACCCCACCTTCATGCTGGCCTCACAGGCTCTATCGATTCCAGTATTCGCTGCTGGGACTGCCGCTCTCGAAGGCCAGATCCAGTGCAGAAGCTGGATGACGCCAAGGATGGTGTATCCAGTGTGAAGGTGTCAGACCATGAGGTCCTGGCAGGGTGAGTGGAGCCAGACCATTGCCCCTCCCCAGGTGCCACTGGGGATCATAGCTGCCTGTGTGCTTAAAGTCTACTCTCCTCACTGTGCCTCCCACGGCCCTGCACAGTCTGGTCCTTGCTGACCTCTCAGCTTTTATTCATTCCCAGCCTCATTTCAAGTAAATACTCCAAGCATGCTCCCACCCCAGGACCTTCACAATTGCTCTTCCTCTGCCAGGACTGCCCTTCTACTACTTATTCCAACTGTATATGAGCACATCCCACAAGTCACTTTTTTAGTCAATGAGCACAGGGCAGTGAATAAGACAGGGAAATAAGAAAAAATCCCTGCCCACATAGAGTTGATATTCTAGCTGCAGGAGACAGTTTTTTTAAAAAAATTCCCTTGCAGCGCTGCTCAAGTGTTGTCACAACACAAGGGAGTACCATTCCCATCATGGGCCTGTTCCCACACATCTCCCCTTGGATCCCACAAGGTTGGCTCCTTCTTGTCCTTCAAGTCCCAGTTTAGATATCACCTCCTTGGGGAGGCCTTTCTAGATTACCATCAGTCAGTGAAGCTCCAGAAATTTTTCTTGGCTTGGTCGAAGCTCTGTACCAAGCCCTCCCTTCCTGCTACAGGATCTGGCCCAGAGAGGATGCTCAGTACATATCAGAAACAGATGGAGCGGTTCCTGACTGGTCCCTGGGTCTGAGTCTCAAAACCAGTGCCTCAGAATTCCACTCATGAATTCACTTCAATGAATGTTTTCCACAGCCAGCCCTCAGTGGGCATATGACAGCGAGGGGTGCATAGGAAGGACAGGCTCAGCCCTGCCCTTAGGGCCCTGGCCAGAGAGAAGTGTAGAGGGACACCGACATTACCTAGAGCCATGGACCCACTGGCCCCAGCGGAGGCTTCAACTGGATCCACCCTCTCTTGTAGTTCCGTGGATGGCCGGGTGAGGCGCTATGACCTGAGGATGGGGCAACTCTTCTCAGACTACGTGGGCAGTGAGTATGGCCAGGCTGTGGGGCAGGCAGGGGAGGCAGGGGCAGTAAAGGAGGCCCCAGCCCACCGCCTGTCCACCCCTCCCCTGCCCCCAGGCCCCATCACTTGCACCTGCTTCAGCCGAGACGGGCAGTGCACCCTGGTGTCCAGCCTGGACTCCACACTGAGGCTTCTAGACAAGGACACCGGGGAGCTGCTAGGGGAGTGAGTACTTGGGATTGTGGGGCCCCTCCCCCAACCTCTGTCCCTGGTAAGACCAAGCCCTGATGATCACACCCACCCCCAGGTATACAGGCCATAAGAACCAGGAGTACAAGCTGGACTGCTGCCTGAGTGAGCGTGACACACACGTAGTCAGCTGTTCTGAGGATGGGAAGGTGTTCTTCTGGGACCTGGTGGAGGTGAGCCTCCCCACCCCCATACTGCACCAGGGCACCTGACCTGTCCCCTCTTTGTCTTTACCTCAGTCATTCCCAGACCTGAAAATGGGAGTGCTATTAGAAAAAGGGGCTGGAAGGAGTGAGAGGACAGGAAGGGCATCCCAGCAAAAGGAACAGTATGTGCTAAGGCTTGGAGGTGTGGCACACATTGGTCAGGAAACAGAAGCACTTCAGGATGGCAATGGCAGAAGCAGAAGCCACATCAGGCAGCGCCACCAGTGCCAGGCTGAGCCAGTGGGACTGACCCTGAGGATGAGGGAGCAAATAGCAGAGTCTGACCCTGGGGGAGATGAAGCTGTAGTTGTTCAGGAAACCTCAGCTACTTCTGAGCATCCCTGTGGTTTCTAGCCCCGTCCTGACGTGTCAGAGCCTGGTGGTGGCATCAGGCCGAGAACAGACTGGCTGGGCTTAGTGGATTCAGGGCTGGAGAGCCTCATAGGAGATGTGGGTGCTGGGGTTTGGCCAGGGGAAGTCCCCTAAGAGGATGGAGGAAACTGGGAGACCCTGGGAACTCAAGGAGCCAGCTCTCAGGGGACTAAGAAAGTGCCAAAGTTCTGCCTACTTCTTGAGGGTCTGGTAGACCAGAGGTCACACTGAAGGAAGGGCACATTAGGGGACATATCAAGGTAAAAAGGAACTGTGGCCTGCTTGAGAAACTGTATATGTGGAGCTGTGTCTGCAGGTTGATGAAGAAAGTGCAAGCACTGAACGCTGCCAAGTAGATGGGTAGAATCCCTATGGCAGCAGGGGGGAGGGAAACTGAAAGCCAGACATAACTGGCTCAGAGAAGGGTAGTAGCCATAAAGATAGAGAGAATGGGTGCCCTATGGACATAGTCTAAAGGCAGAACCAAGAAGATTTACAGATAAAGGGATGTGAGGTGTGAAAAAGACTTCCCAGGTTTTGGCTTGAGCACCTAGAAGGACAGAGCCACTAAGGGGCTCATTTTGAGGCAGACTAGTTCTGCAGTGACTTGAAAGCCATTAAAGCAGATGGCTAAAGGTCAGGGGATGAGAGGCTCACTGATAACTGCTCCTCTCTCCCTTGTTCCACAGGGTGTCCTGGCCCTGGCCCTGCAGGTGGGTCCTGGTGTGGTGCAGTCACTGGCCTACCACCCCACAGAGCCCTGCCTGCTGACTGCCATGGGGGGCAGCATCCATTGCTGGCGGGAAAAGGCCTACGAGGCTGACAGTGGCACAGGTTGAGGCCAGGGGACCCAACAACACTAAGGACACAGATGCAGACTCTGGACCACTGAGACCATTTATTCCAGGCGTGCTACTGACCAAGGAGTAGGGGAGGGGCTGGTCTGGAAACTAATAAACAGAAGGGGGCACAACTGTCAGTCCTTGTTCTTCTCAGGCATGAAGGCATCTACCTTCTGGGCAAAGGTTTCAGCCACGAGCAGGGGAAAGACCAGGGAGGCATCAGCATAGACCTGCAGAGGGGACTCAGGTAACCATGGGATCCAAAGCTACAGCTTAGGAGACCCTTCACCCCAGCAGGCTGGCTGGCCCTCACCTTGACAGGCTGTGCATCCACCCTGATCTTGCCCCAAGAGACAGCTTCGTCCGGCCGGGCGCCAGAGTCAGAGCCATCAAACTCCTGGGCCGTGTTAATGTAGACAGCATAGTCAGCCCCATTCCGCTGTGGGGAGAGGCAGGGTGGATGGTCAGCCAGTCACACGAGACAGACACACCACACATACAGAGGCAGGGCATTGCAGCTAGAGAGGCTGAGCCATGTGTCCTAGATAAAGGAGGGCCCTTTTGTGGCCCTCTCTGCAAGGGAGGGGCCCTATGTCAGGCAGAGTGAGGGTTTGGAGGGTTACTAGGCAAATGATAGGCAGTGTTGGCCCAGACCAACCTCCTAGGTAGCAACAACCCTGAGACATCTCAACAGGAACTGTCACCAACTATCTTCAAAAGACCTCTGAACCCAACCACCTCTCTCCTGCTTTGGTCCCCACCCTGGTCCTGGCCCCATTTGTTCCCCCTGCAGCAGCCAGAAGGTGCCTGTGAGCACCTGGGTCACAGCCCTCAAGGCCCTACAAGTCCTGCCTGTCATGTTCCCACCTCACCTCCCACTCTCCCCTTCACAGGCCTCCTAACTGTTCCTTATTTCGGGCACCTCAGAGCCTTTGCACTAGCTCTTCCCTGTGCTGGGAACTCTTCCTCAAGGCAACCACATGGCTCAAGGGAGGCATCTCCCAAATTTGCTCTAGTCACAGGTCACATTTCCCAGAAAAACTTCCCTTTTTGAAACAGTGCCCCTTTTTATTACCATCTTACCAACCCACCTAATTTTGCTCCATAGCAATGACTGCCACCTAACTTGTTGTCTGTCTCCCCTGACTAAAACATCAGTCCCAGGAAGGCAGGGATCCCACACGCTAGGGACAAAATGCTCCGTCCCCACTCACCATGAGGTTGGCGTTTGCGATGTGGTGCTTGACTACACCCCCGCCCAGGATGATCATGCCAGAGCGCTTGGCAAAGATGGCCTGGGTGTTGATGAGCCTCACGTCTGGGGAAGAGCACTGTGGTCAGGCCCTGGGCCCAGCCAGCCCTCCTCCCCCACTCCTCTGGCCCCAGCACCTCACCCTCCACGATGTCCAGGACCAGGCCCGGGTTCTTGTAGGAATGGAAAAAGATCATGTCACCCAGTGAGCCATCTGTGAGCGCCGGGCTCAGTACAGGGATGTGGTTCTAGAGGAGTGCAGGACAGGACAGCGGCAGGAGTCAGAGCCCGGTGGGGGTAGGTCGGTCCCCATTTTGGCAGCAGTCCCTCTCTGCCTGATTCTGGGCATGGTGTTTAACTTTTCTGGGCCTCAGTTTCCTTGACTGTAAAATGACAGTAACAACAGTACCTCCCTCACAGATGAGGAAGTGTTTGTAAGAAAACCCACACAAAACACTTAGGACCATGCCTGGCATATAAAGAATGGTAGCTCTTGTTATTTTTCCGACTGCTGGACTTCATATCCTCTGAGGAGCAGTGGACCCTACGAGTGTTTTCAGGGGGATTGCGAAGCACTGCTCCAACTGCTCTCAGGTGGTATAGGAGTACAGCCAGGATATGAGGACCATGCTCAGTAGCTGTGTGACCTCAGAAAAACTGCCTAGCCTGTGTCTGAAATTCCTCATCTAAGTGCAGACGATAAGAACAGCACTCACTCCCCCGGTGACTGGGAAGATGAAGCAAGTTAACACAGGCCAAGGCCTGGCATCTTTGCCCCCACCCAGCCCCTCACCTTCTGGGCCCAGTAATACACTGACTCTGGGTTGTTGATCTCCTTGCCGAGGCGGGCTATCATCTTGGAAGGCGTCCACTTCACACCCTAGGAGGGGACATCAGCTTTAGCCAGTGGTCCCTTCCATGACTGCCATCATGCTAGCCCCCTAGGTTGTTCCAGCCCCACCTCTGTGTTCTGCTCCAGCACCATCTGGTCCAGAATGGGCATCAGCCAGTCCTCAAACTTGCAGTAATTATCATTGGGAACCAGCAGGTTCCCAATCCTGGGGACAGGAGGGAGACAGACATCAGGCCCCAGGCCCCTCAGCGCAGCTCCCCTGCCCAGCACCACTCAGGCCCCCCACCTGTTAATCCCGTTCTCACGTAGCTCCTTCCCCCGGAGGCTGAACTCGCCCAGGTATGTGGGTGCCAGGCACTTGATGAGATCCTCCTCCACGCCCCCAGCCGTAGTAACCAAGACATCCACCTGCAGCCATATGCAATGAGGTTGGCCCAGAAAGGAGGCCCCTGCCCTCATTCTGGGCAGGACTCCTCCCAACTGTGGTCTAGTAACCTTGCAGGAATGTCTGCTACAAAACAAAACTCAAGCCCTGGCTGGTGTTACTCAGCAGTTAGAGCATCTACCTGTGCACCGAGGGTCGTGGGTTCGATTCCCAGTCAAAGGCACATATCTCGGTTGTGGGTTGGTTCCCTGCCCTCAGTCATGACTTGTTCGGAAGGCAACCAGTGGATGTGTCTCTCTCACATCGATGTTTCTCTCCCTGGCTCTTCCCCTCCCTCCCTCCCTTCTACTCTCTCTGAAAAAGCAATGGAAAAAATATCCTCAGGCAAGGATTAACAACAACAACAAAAATCCTGGCCCTCTGCTTAAAACTAACTTATATCTCTCTAACTTACTAAAATGACCAATAATATTGCCCATTGAGACCCAGAGGCCAAGGCCACAGCCCCATCAACTCCTCACCATGTTGTGTTGCACGAGATAACGGATGGTTTCACGAACGCCTGAACTGATGAGGTTGGAGGTGTAGCCCAAGAAAATGGTGCAGCCAGTGAGTGGGCGGTGGCTCTGGGTCAGATCTGCGTGTTGGTCTTCATCCTGCGGCAGAGGCTCCAGCTTCTTCTCTATCTATGTGAGGGGTTAAATTAACCTCTGAACCCAAACTCCAGCCCAAGGACCCCAGTGGTTTTCAGAATCAGACTCTGCCCCCAGGCCCTGCCCACTCAAGGAAAAAGGACCACTTCTACCGGGAACCAGGGAAGGGAGTCCTTGTGCAATCTCCACCCCTTTCACAGCTTGGCTTTCCGGTCGCACGCTCACGCTTTGCCCCGCTTGGGAGTCAGAGAGCATCTTCGTTGCAGGTTCCAGCCGCCTTTCCGCTGGAAAGAGCAAATCCAAGGCCCTGCCCTGACTTAAGGTCTTTTTCCAATTCCTCCCTCAAGGGCATGGTCTAGCCCTAGGAGGCATCTATTCCAGAACACACACAAAGACTATAACTCGCCTCTACCTAGAATCTGTCTCAATGCTAGGATGTCGCCGCTGGGGGGCAACTTCCCCTCCCCAACACAGAAACTCCTGCCCAAAGTAAGGCCCACCTCTCCTCAACTACTAGGCCGCCCCAATTAAGGACACGCCCAGGGAAGCCCCGCCCTCTACAAGTGCTGCACGGGGTTGGCGCTACTACAGGCCACGCCCCCAAGCTCCGGAAGTCCCGCCCCTGCCTCACCATGGCTTTCACTTGATGCACCGCACGCCCGAAGTTGGTAGCCTGGAAACCAGTGGTGCCGAAGGCTTCCAGCATCGCGTGGTAGTCCACGCCACGGCTGAAATCGTAACCTCGGACCTGTGCGCTCTCGAACGGCAGCGCCGAGCTGCGCTTCAGCACAGCGGCCAGAGACGCCGCCGGCGCTTCCCCCTTCGGACTCTCCATGCTCTGGCGGCCGCACTCCGATCAAAGTCCCAAACCAGGCCTCCAGGGGCCTCAATCGCTCTACCTGGCACGCGCTTCTCTATGAGCGTAGAAAACAGGAGTCGGAACAAACGGGGGTGATGGGCCGGAAGTTGCTTAGTCACATGGCCGTCTTCGCTCTTCTAGTCGGGGCGGGGGCGTGGCCTATGCTAAATACGGAAGCCGCTTGGAGCCGATGTTTCTTTTCGCGTGTTCGCTGTCTCACATGAAGAAAGGCCTACTTTTATTGCCGCCTGCTGGATACCCACCGCGTTGCCGGCCGTTTGTCCTTTAGTTTGTCCTGTGGGGTGAGAGAATGGCTTCTTAAACGTCTCCTTTGGACAGAATTCGAGTCATCAGAAACTGTCAAGTTTCTGCCACTGAGCATCTCTCTTCAAATAGGATGTTGATCCTTGTCCGGGCCTCGCAAGTCTCCAGAGCCTTCACACGCTGCATAACCCTCTGATCTTCCCCAGGCAGCCACAGCTGTCATCTCTGTTGGGAAGCTTTCCTTCACCTTTCTCTGGGTAAGGCATCTCCTCTGGGACCCAGGACCGACGTCTCTTTCCCTCCAGCAAGACTGAGACCCTCAAGTGTGGGGACTGTATCTCATGGGTCCTCCTAATTATGGACAGGGTCTGGCCCAGAGGAGACCCCATTAATCTCTACATTTATGGAGTCTATTCATTGGGCTCTGTGCTGGGTGCAGATTTATTTTATTTTATGGTTTTGTTGTGTTTTTTTAATCCTCACCCGAAGATATTTTTCCCATTGCTTTTCAGAGAGAGTGGAAGAGAGGGAGAGTGAGAGAGAGAAACATCCATTGGTTGCCACCCCTACATGCCCTGACTGGGGTGAGGGATGGAGCCTGCAACCAAGTAAGTGCCCTTGGCCAGAATCAAACCCAGGACCCTTCAGTCCGCAGGCCAACACTCTAGCCACTGAGCCAAACTGGCTAGGACTGGGTGCAGATTTAGGAGTGAACAAGATGCACTCCTGGAGTCCACAGTTTGTTGAGACAGAAAGTTAACCACAGTACTAAGTGCTATTCGGGGTTTCAGCAGGATGATGCAAGAGCCTTTGGCGGGGGGTAGATGAAGCATTTGGTGTCCTTAGTTGGAGGGACAGGTGGTTGAGGAAGGACACCAAAGAGGTGACATTTGAGCCAAAGCCAAAAGGCCCTGTATGTGAACTTATGGGGGGAGGCCATTCTCCCCTGCCCCCCATTGGGAGAGAACAACCAGTGTAAAGGCCCTAAGGCTGAAAATGAGCCAACTCAATTGGAGGAACACACATCCTCTTGAACAATCTTGAAATTCCCTGCTTGGATCTCAAATTCACCACCTCACCTTTTTCTCCACCTAACCCTGGTCTTGCTGCAGTCTTCCACATCTCAGCAAACAATCAGCTACCAGGCTAAAAACAGGCGTTGAGCTTGATGGCTTCTTTTCTCACACCCCACATTTATCCCCCAGCACATCCACAAAGTTCTACCTATAAAATAGGTCCCAAATCCAAGTGCTTTTTTGCTTTTTTAAAATTGAGGAATAATTGATATATAACATTACATTAGTTTCAGGTGTACAACGAGTCGGTATTTGTATCCAAGTGTTTCTAATCATCCCCAAAGCCTCCATCGCCTCCACACTGCACTCACTCCCCTTCAGTCCATCTCCAAGCTGTGGCCAGAGAGCTCATTAAAGAGAAATCAGATGCATCATTCCTTCTAACAACGGCTTCCCCCTTGGAATAGAATCTGGGCCTGCAAGGCCTGCAAGGGCTCTTGCTGACTTCCCTGCCCTCTTCTCCCACCACTTGCTGTCACTTGCTCTTCTCCAGCTACATCTACCCCGTCACTGTTCTAGAACCCACCAAGCTCTTTCCTGACCAAGGGACAATGCACCTGCTGCTCTCTCTGCTTGGAACACCCCTTCCCCAGCTCCTTCTCTTTCCTGCCTCAGTTCAAAATGTCACTTCTGCCCTGGCCAGGTAGCTCGGTTGATTAGAGCATCTTCCCAATATGCAAGGTTGTGGGTTTGATCCCCAGTCAGGGCATGTAGAAAAATCAACCAATGAATACATAAATAAGTGGAACAACAAATTGATGTTTCTCCCTTCCTCTCTCTAAATCAATAAATAAAATTATTTTTTTTTAAAGTCACTTCCTGCCCGGCCGGGCGTGGCTCAGCGGTTGAGCGTCGACCTAGGATCCAGTTGATCAGGGTTCGATTCCCGGTCAGGGCACATGCCTGGGTTGTGGGCTGCAGCCGACCAATGACTCTCTCATCATTGATGTTTCTATCTCTCTCACTCCCTCTCCCTTCCTTTCTCTGAAATCAATAAAGATATATTTTTTAAAAAAATAAAAGTCACTTCCTGCCCAGTCAGGCGTGGCTCAGCTGTTGAGCATCAACCTAGGATCCAGAAGATCGCGATTTGATTCCTTGTCAGGGCACATTCCCTGAGTTGCAGGCTTGATCCCCAGTTTGGGGTGTGCAGGAGGCAGCCAACAATGACTCTCTCATCACTGATGTTTCTATCTCTCTCTCTCTCCCTCTCCCTTCCTCTCTCTGAAATCAATAAAGACATATTTTTTAAAAAATCACTTCCTCCATTGCCCGGCCAGGCATGGCTCAGCGGTTGAGCATCGACCTAGGATCCAGGAGATCGGGGTTCGATTCCCGGTCAGGGCACATGCCCGGGTTGCAGGATGCAGCTGATCAATGTCTCTCATCATTGATGTTTCTATCTCTCTCTCTCCCTCTTCTTTCCTCTCTCTGAAATCAATAAAGATATATTTAAACCAATAAAGATATATTTAAAATAAAAATAAATAAATAAAAAATCACTTCCTCCAGGAGGCCTGCCCTAATCACCCAATCTTGCCCTTACCTTATTTTTGTTGTCTTTCATAGAACCTAATACATTTTGTTTCCTGTTGTCTGTCTCTGACTAGAACAACAGCTCCATGAAGGCAGGATTTTGTCTGGTTTCACTCCGATCCCTTTATGCTCAGCAGTGCTAGACACAGATTGGGATCTCAGTAAAGATAATGAATGATTGAATGACTGAATGAATGAGTGAATGAGTGAATGAACAAACGAACACATACAAGAGCATCAGTGTGATCCATGAGGAATGAAGGAGGGAAAGGTTGATAAATGAATTCAGTGGGCAGAAGGTGCCAGACCAGGCAGGACTCTATAGGCTGTAGTAAGGAGGGTGGATTTTATTCTAAGAGGCTGAGAAACCACTGGAGAGTTTTAAAAAGGAAGTGAGGGCCCTGGCCAGTGTGGCTCAGTTCTTTGGGTGTCATCCCATGCACCGCAAGGTTGAGGGTTCGATCCTCAGTCGGGGGCATTGCAGGAGGCAGCTGATCAATGACTCTCATCATTGATGTTTCTATCTCTCCCTCTTCCTTCCTCTCTCTGAAATCAATATAGATATATTTAAAAAAAAAGATGGTGAATCTTCTGTGTAATCTCTTGTCTCTCACTTCCATTTTTAAAAAAAGATTTTTAATTGAATTTTAGAGAGAGAGGACGGAGAGAAACATCAATCAAACGCGATCTCCTGGATCCTAGGTCAATGCTCAACCGCTGAGCCATGCCCGGCTGGGCAAGATTCACCGTCTTAACCATTTTTGGTGTATAGGTCAGTGGCATTAAACATATTCACATTGTTGTGCAATCATCACCACCATCCACCTCCAGAACTCTTAAAATCTTCCCAAACTCTGTCCCTATTAAGCACCAACTCACCATCCCCCTACCCAAGCTCCTGGTACCTGCCATTTTACTTTCTGTCTCTATGAATTTGACTATGGACCTCATCTGAATGGAATCATAAATGTGTCCTTTTGTGACTGGCTTATTTCACTCAGCATAATGCCTTCAAGTTTCATCAATGTTATATTCTGATTTATTTTTTAACAGTTCCCACTGGCTGTCTTGAGAATAGCAGTATGGGGGAGGGCAGGGGAGACCGGGATGGAGGCAACTATACTGGTCCAAGTGAGCAAGGATGGGGATGGGACGCATGTGAGGATAGAGAGAAGTGACCAGATTCAGGACCAAATTTGAAGGTTGATTGGCTGGCTCTTGAGAAAAGATTAGATGTGGGGATACCGGAGAGGAATAAAGGAGTTTGACATTTGGGCCAGGGCAGCTGGGTGGATGGTAGTGACTTTAGTGGCAGAAGGTCTGAGGAGAAGGCAATCCAGAATCCAGCTTTGGCCTAGAGACACCAGAGAGATGGGTGGGATGGACCAAGGAGGCCGGAGGGTCCTCAGGTGGATCTGAGGTCAGGGAAGGGGCTGGGATTGGGCAAAGGAAGCCATCGGCATAAGCGAGTGGACTGAGTTATCCATATCGTGGATCACAGAACAGTGAGTGTAGATGGAGAGGAGAGGCAGGGCTGCATCCAAGCCTGGGGACACTGCATGTTGGGGGACAGAGGCTGGCAAAGAAGGGATGTTGGGGCTAGTTAGCAAGGGATCAAGCAGGTCAGTGAGAGGCCAGGGCCCCACACTCTCTCTGCGAAGGTAACACATGACCACAGGGCACCCACCAGGCCTCCTGGGGAAGGGAACCCCTTGGCTGAGGCAGCTGCTGCTGCCATCACTGGTGACATTTCACTCCATGAGTGTCCTGGCTTCAAAGTCTCTGCAGGGGTCAGGGAGGAGGGGACTGGAGAGGCCAGGAGGGAGAGAGGCAGAGCAGAGCCACAGGCAGAGGACTGAGCAGCCAGGAGTCGCCAGAGTCCTCAGCTGAGGTATGTGGTTCTGATGGGTGGGGAGCATCCACCCCCATCCCACAGGCCCCAGGGGACATTGGAGAAGGTGCAGGGACCCTCCAGTGGCCCTAGGACTCCAGGTCTGGGGTTCAGCCTGCTGCATATGGCCCTGCTCACCCTTCCTCAGATGTCTGGCAAAGTGGCCACTGGCAGTGACATCGGGCAGGCCCGCCGGGCAGTGGAGCAGCTGAGGATGGAGGCCGGCATCAACCGCATGAAGGTGAGACTGAGGCCAGATAGGCACATCTGGGTGAGGGGGCAGAGGGACAGCCAAGGTCTGGCTGATTGAACTGGCCTACAGGTGTCCAAGGCGGCTGCTGACCTGCTGCAGTTCTGCATGGAGCAGGCCAAGAGTGACCCGTTCCTGGTGGGCATCCCAGCTGCCATCAACCCCTTCAAAGAGAAGAAGCCTTGTGCCATCCTCTGATACTGGCCCCAGGACCCCTCAATAAACATGAAGTAAATGCTCCTCAGGGTTTGGTGGGCTGCAATGGGGGGCAAAGAGGAGCTGCAGGCTTGTAGGGGCACCTGGCCCAGCCTCCCTCCCTGGCCCACTCCAGGGTCACTGCCACAGGGACATCCCCTCTCCCTCTGCACAAACACATACAGGGACAGTCCCTGTCTACAACCCAACACACGCCACACACACATCACACATGCCCAAATATCACACACACACAGGTGTCATCATACAGACAGGTGCCCACATCCTCCAGATTCTCCCTCTTCTCACACGTACACTCACGGGCATGCAGACAGTCATAGACAGGGTTACAGTAACAACACACACAGCCAGCTAGCCTGCCTCCCCAGGGACACACAGACACACATGATCCCAGGAATGCATTTGGGTGGGCACAGGCGCACAGAGACATACACAGTAGAGGCTGTCACCAAGGCTTCCATGCACTGTCTCAGACACGTACATCCCCAGCATCCCAGCCCCAAGTAAGCACCACTCCAGGCCACAGCACCAGTATGTCAGGTTTATTTACCCTTCACTCTCAAGGGAAAGCAGGTGTCCAAATCTTAAACAGGACCTGAGGGTAGGCTGGAACACCAACCTCACCTTCCCTGGTATGGGGCACAGATCAGGGACCCCACTCGACAGTGGCCAGGGGTCCTTGTGCCTCAGGCCTGTGGGGCTCAGCAGGGGCAGCACCAGAAAAGGGGAGGGTCCCCCGAGAACAGAGGCCTTGACCCAGCCTGCCGGCCAGTAGATCCACATCCATATCCATGTCTGCCAGCTCAGGCCTGTAGCCTCCAGACTTCCAACGACAGGCCCCCAGAGGCAGCCACCACCAGGTTGCCCTCAGCACAGATCTGGGCAGGGACATGAAGACTCAGGGGTGCTCTAGGCAGCCAGCAGGGCATATGGGGCAGGGCATGTGGGGTAGGGCCTTACCCCATTCAGCACGTTATCGTGGCTTCGGGTGCAGATGGTCCTTGGTGGGTCTGTGGGCACGTGCACCTGGTGATGGGCAACAGGCAAAGGTAAAGAGGTATGCCCCCAGCCAGAGGGGGTGGTGTGGGAGAGGACCTGTCCTGGGGCCTCACCCGGATAGTCTTATCGGTGGATGTGGTGTACAAGGCCCCCAGCGTGTGTTTGATCCCTGTGATCTGAGATCTGTGGCCCACATCAAAGGACTGCAAGAAGGAGGGACAGATGACACTCAGGCGAGGCTCTCCTAAGGCTAGCCACCCATCACCACAAAGGGTAGGGGCAAAGGCCCCAGCAGACCCGGACAAGCTGGAAGCAGCCATTCTGGTTGGCAAAGACATGCAGCAGACCCTGGTTGTCACCAGCCCAGAGCTGGGGCTCTTGGTAGGACATGCAGAGCAGGTAGGAGTCCAGCTGTGGGAGAGACATGAGACAGAGCAACTCAGGCTGGGCCATGCCACAGCCCAAGTCCCTTGGGACCTAGGGAGCGCTCACCTGCAGCCGCTGCAGGACACTGTTGGCCCGGCGGTCAAACACCACGAGGGTGTGGTCCTCACTGCCCGAGATGATGTGCCGGTCATCTGCCAGCAATGCCAGCACCGCACTCGAGTGCAGCCGCCGGCTCTTCAGCAGGGCCGGGCCGACTTTGTAGGTGATGGGCCAAGGAGAAAAGGAACATCAGAGGCCCTCAGAGGCTCCCCAACCCACCCAAGGATCCAGGGACTCTGTAACCTGTGGCAAAACTGTTGGTTGGCTTACCCCCATTCCCTGTCCCACAAGTGACCCTGTCTTTCCTCTCCTTCTCCAGCTAAATCCGGACCTCAAGCCTCTGCCACCTCCCATCTCCTGTCCCATCTCTCTCCTCCTGTCCCATCTGCTCTCATCACAGAGTAGACATGCAAGTCCCCGCATAAAATGCCAACTAATGCCAGCAGTCACTTCCACCCCCACCCCTGCTAGGTTCTGCCTAGATGAGGCACACTGGCCCTTAAATTAAACAAAGAATAAAAAAATAACAGAAAAGGCTTATGTGCCAGGCTGTGGGGCAATGTTTGTTCTAGGCATTTTATGTAAACTAATATTTAATCTACCTATGTTTTTATTATCATCTCCTCCCATTATCCCTATAGGGCTGGAGCTGTTGTCTAAATTTTACAGATAGGGAATCCAAAGTTCCAGCTTGACTGGTGTCGTACAGCTAGGGAATGGCAGAGCCAGTATTCTCAAGGGCTGTCTGCCACCCACGGAATTCCAGCTCAGAGGCCCCTCCTGTGTCCTTTACTCCACCCCATGTGAAGATGCAGCTTCCTCCACCCACCCCCCAAAAGTCCCCTTTGTTGCCCACAGCACAGCACAGGCCACTCTGAGTGGTTAGCATCTGCTTATGTGACTGTCACCCCAGCCAGGCTGTGAAGCCCAAGTGCTTCCTTCTCCAGCATGACCCTGGGACCCCCAGCAGCCCTGCTCTCCCCAGTTCAGGCCCCTAGCCTACCTCTGGGGTCGTAGACTGTCACCTTCTTGTCATAGGTGCCAGTCACCAGGATGTCAGGCTGGTAGGAAAGGCACAGCACAGCTGCCTTGCCCCTGGGGACACATGGAGCACGAGGCTGAGCTGTGGCCAGGCAGGACCCTGCCCCCCCAACCCCCCTCCCCAGGACCCCTCACACTTTATCTCGCCAAACTGCTGCCCATCAGCTGCCATGTCCCAGAGCTTCACTGTGCTGTCCCAGGAACCGGAGCATACTCGGTGGTCCAGCGCTGCCAGTGACCACACCCAACCCTGTAGGACCAGACCTATGTGACAGTCCTCATTTCACAGATAACTAAATTGAGGGCCAGAGGAGGAAGATAACCAACCCAAGAACCCAGAACAAGTCAGTACCATGTAGCGATTAGAGCTTAAGTTAATAGATCTGACTGCAGAGCCCAGGACATGCATACTCCCTCCTCCCCCCAATAATATTCCTAAATCAAGTCCTGCAAAGAATCAGAACCGGAGATGGTTTGAGGCCACATGACAACGTGATTAAATACAGGGCCCTTGCCTGGCTGGTGTTACTCAATGGTTGACTGTCAACCCCCCATGAACCAAGAGTCACAGTTCAATTCCCAGTCAAGGCATACGCCTGGGTTGAGGACTCGATCCCTAGCAGCAGGCATGCAGGAGGCAGCCGACTGATGATTCTCTCATTGATGTTTCTATCTCTCTCTCTCTCCCCCTTCCTCCCTCTGAAATCAATAACAAAATATATTTAAAAAATAGGCCCCTCCCTCAGTTTCCTCATTGGGAAACTGGGCATAAAAATAGTCCCTGTCTCAGGAGATAATTTGTACAGAGTGCTAGCTGATGACTGATTTACTCCTCACCAAATCCTCTGAGAATACTATAAAGTGTCCTGTTCTACAAGTGAAGAAACTGAGGGCACAGAGAGGTTGAGTTCCTCACCCAAGGTCACACAGCCAGGAAACAGCAGAATGGGGATTTGAACCCAGCAGCCTGGATCAGAGACCAAGCCCTTGGCCACCAGCCTAGATCACCTCACTGACTGGTGGAGGTGCCTCTCCACAGCCAATTCACACAAGATGACAGTCATGCTCAGAGCTGTCAGATCTCTAAGGACAGCCTCCTAACACCCTGCCCTGGGCCTCTCAAGGCATACCTGACATCTGTTGAGCACCTACTGTGTACCCAAGTCTGAGTGAAGCTCCTAACACCTGTTCATTTCATTCATCCTCATCCTAACTGGCCCCTGGACAGAAGTAGATACTGAGGCCCAGAGAAGTCATACATCTCACCCAAAATCACACTAACGCTAGCAGAGAAAGATTTTAATCTATCAGGTCTGGTGGCAAAACATGCGCCCTTAGGCCTCATGCTTCCTAAATCCTCACCTTATGGGTGCTGTTCTTCTGGGTGCCAAGGGCCTTGACCAGAACTCGGCTGGGTTCCACCCCAAGCTGCCGCAGGTCCCACAGGTTGACATTGCGATCTCGGGAGCCCGACAGACAGAGTGTTCCACCCTGGGAAGGGAGTGAAGTGATATTGTTGGGGTCACCCTGGCCCACCCCCGTCTGGCCCCTCACCAAACCCCATCTCACCTGGAAGAGCAGCACTGAGTCAATGGAAGCAAAGTGCCCATCAGCCAGGCAGAAGTACTCAGCCCAGCGCCCATCCTCCGCCCAGCGTGACAAGTGCTGCTCCAGCTCAATACAGGCTGCCGGCCAGTCAAAGTCCTCCTCTGTGGAGTACCACGAGCAGGGTCTCTGGTGGGCTGGAACCCTACTACCCACACCAGCTATCCAAACCCACCCCTGGTTCCCAGGGAGCCCAACCAGCACCAGACTTGGAGAACACTGCCATCTGGATTCCTCACCACACTCCAAGGAGGCCCAGGCTCTAGCTTTGGGACCACTGCCCCACCCACCTTCGAAGCAGATCTAGGACTCTTTCTCACCAGTTTCCAGAAACTGGGGAAGTAGAGCCTCTAGACCACCTTCCCAGGCCTCATCCCCCAACCCAAGTCTGGGAGATAGCAGCCTCAGGACATTAAGGTCCTTCCTCACCCCTGAGGTCTGACCTCAATCCCTCAGGCTGGGTACAGGAGCTAGGACTTTCTGCCTCAGCCATCTAAACCAGACCCAGGAGAGTGTTTCTTCTCAAACTAGTATCTGTAAACCTGGGAGAGTTGTCAAGATGCAGAACCCAAGCCCTAGGTGTAGAGATTCAGTGGTATGGATGGAGCTCAGGCATCTATGTTTATCAAGCTATTCAGGAGAGTCCCATCACTTCAAGGTCACCAAGCTGTCTTATCTCCCAGGAAACAATGACCTCAGGGGCAGTGAGAATGACCACTAGCCCCTACTTAAGATCTCAGGCTAGACCCTGAGATTGAGGATCTGTGATTGCTGGCATCAGAGATCCCAACCTCTAAATCCTCCTTGAGCTCAAGAGTTGCAGGCTCTGGACCGGAGTCCTTGCCTCACCCCCACCTAGGTCAGGACTCTAGGAGTGAGGGGCTTTGGCATCACCAGTTGCTGCCTCAGCATCTTGGGTTTACCCTGAAGATTCTTGGGTTTACCCTGAGCCCCAAGCAGAATCTGACAGCCTGAGACTTTCAAGTCCCTGTGTCAACCCCCAGTCAGGGGTCAGGGCCTTTGTACCACCACCAGAACCCAAGCCTGAGGATTACTGGATCCTAATTTCACAGGACGCCAGACCCCCAGGTAGGTTTCTACAGTTTCAGGACCCCAAGTGTCTGCCTCATGGTCCACTCAGAATTCGGGGACTTTGGAACCACCAAAATCTACCTCAGCCTCCACCCGAGCTAGGACAGCCAGGAAATCTGCTCTAAGGGATGTGCTCACAGCATCCAGGTAGCCCCTCGCCGACCCTAAGCCTGACCTGGGCAGGCGACCCTGGCCCCCGACGTGCGCACCTTCCACCACTGGATAGGGTGCGCGTAGGCGGCGCTGCGCGCGTAGCCTCCAGGTGATATGGTCACGCACAAGGTCGCGCAGCGCGTGACACACGCGCGGCAGGACGTGGAGCACGAGGCGCGCGTCCAGGTAGGCGCAAATCTCGAGCAGCAGCTCCGGGGGAAGGCTCAGCAGGCCCGGGACCCCCATGGCCGGGCCCTTGGACGCGGCCCGCAGCTCCAGGGCACCAGGGGCCGCGGCGGGCGCGGACAGCGGAGGGGAACGCAGGGGCGCCAGCCCGAGTTTCGGTGGACTGAGCACGCGGGCCACGTAAGCCTCTGCCTGCGCATCTGGGTCAGGCTCCGGCTCCTCATCCGAGTCGTCGTCCCAGGCGTTGGGATCGTCGCGTGACCCTGGGGGCAGCTCCATGGCGACCGAGTGGGCGCGCCGGGCCAAGCAGTCAGCCGCAGGCCCCGCGTCCTGTCTCCTAGGCAGCGCTGGGGCACTTTCGGCTCTGCTTGATGACGTTAAGGCGCCGACCGGAAGTGAGCAGCTCTTGTGTAAACTGGCCGGATACTCACAATTGGTTCGCTCCAGGGAATTCATTCTGGAACTGCATCGGCCTAGGGCTGGAAAGTGCAGATTTCTGGTTCCCGAGTTTTTTTAAACAAGCATCTCTGGTGGTGCGGATGCAGGCCAGCGGACTCTTTTGAAAAACGCCAACCTCTGGAAGACACCTTTCACAGGTGACACCAAGTTTAGAAATGCAAAGCCCCTTTTCCGGGTTTTCTGGGGCTTACTATTCGAACTGCTGTTTCCTTCCGTAGCCAGAAACATGCCTACGTGATACACTGCACAGGCCTAGGAGAAACAGTGCTCTAAATTACACTGATAAAATTAGCATCTCTTACTGAAAGCCTCTTCAATCAGGCAGTGTTAACACATCACACTTGTATCATCCGCCTGACTCATATCCACAAGGCTCTTTGCTCAAACGTTATCTTCCCAGAGTACCTACTGTAAGACTGTGGCCATCTTCCCCGATGTTCTCTCCTCTCCCCGCTGTATTTTTCTCTATGGGACATATCACTGCTTCCTTGTTTATATTCTATTTCCTCTCACTGAAATGTACACATTTGAATGAATGTTGGATATGTCAGCGTTTTTCCCAGGTTGATGCCACACTGAGGCTTGTGCATCCCCAGAGCTGATCAATTTCTCATTTGCCTCAGTAATTGATGCTGATATTTTACTAACATGCTGTATGGTAAGTGGGAACATGAGCCCCTCCCCATGTTCCAACTCCCCCGCCCACCCTGTGGGAAATATAGTGAAGGCCCTCCATAAGTGGACTGTGAGACCTTGGGAACCTGGCCAGCAACTCGGTTTAAGAAAGACCAAAGAGAAACTGCTTTTAGATGTGAGCCTGGAATGTAAACAGCTAGTGTTTTGATCTCAGACAGGCATGTCCCCATCCCCCTGCATGCCCCCTTTTTCTGTTTTCTGTACTCTATAAAACCTTGCGCTGGGAAAGTCTGAGTGGCAGCAAAACAATAGCACCTGTGAGCCGCCCCTGGTGCGGCCCATCCACAGGCTGATACTACTTAGCGGTTCTACTTCACTGGTTGGCTGCCACCTGTGTGCATGTAAGTCCTAATAAACCCATGTCTTTCACAGCCAGTCCTCTGGGTTATTTCTTTGGACTCCACAAACAATATGCTGAAGTGTTCTGGGACCTCAGCATTTTGCATAACATGCCCAGAGATCCGGTTGTGGAAGTCAGTCAAAGATGAGTGCTGCAAGGCTTTGCCCCTTGCCACAAGGTTTAGTCTGAGGCAGGTGGGGATCTTGAACTTAGGGTATAACACTAATGGTTCCCCTTTAGTGAGCTCAGGATGTTTAGTGAGCTGTAATTAAGGCTGAGAGAATGCACTCCACGTGTATGTTACCACATTTAATCTGCACCTTAACCATTCTACAGGGAAGAAAACAGGCTTGGGGTCCCAACAATTGTGCCTGGTTATTTTTTATTTCCTTCCTCACTCCCCCAATTACCTCCTGAGTCCCGTGTACCCCCATTTAAAAATATATGTATCTTTATTGATTTCAGAGAGAAGAAGGGAGAGGAAAAGAGATAGAAACATCACTGATGAGTCATTAATTGGGTGCCTCTTGCACAACCCCCCACTGAGGAGCAAGCCCAAAACCCAGGCATGTGCCCTAACCAGAAATTGAACCACAATCTCCTGGATCATAGGTCTATGCTCAACCGCTGAGCCTCGCTGGCCAGACTTGTGTACCCCCATTTTAAAGCTTCCAAGCTCCCCTCAACATCTCTATTGCCAAAGACAAGGACACAGGAGGCCAGCTGGAGACCAAGGGTTTCACAAGAAACTGATCTTTACTCAACAAAGTTCTACACAAGTGGAATCTCACGCCACCTTGGCGCCAATCCCCAGCACAGCACGGTAACAAATGGACAGACCCTGGAGCCCGCAGGAGGAAGAGGGTGAAGGGGAAGGAGGGACGTGGGAACAAGCGGGACTGCGGATCAAGGCCAATCAGGGTCCACAGCCCTGGGCAGGGGAGAAGGTTGAGAAGCTACAACTTCGTTGTGCAAAAATCAACCAAAAATAAATTAAAAAATTAAATAATTTTCATTAAAAAAAAAAAGACAATGAACCAGACTCCCACTTCCCTGAAGGTGATTGGAGACCCCCATCCTGGGTGGAAGAGTTTCCAAACCCATCAGACAGCCAATCCAATGCACACACCCCAAGATCCAGCAGAGGATGCTCCAAAGAACTGGAATTACCAGAAAATTAAATGGTATTAAAAAAATTTTTTTTCTTTTTTCTTTTTTACAAATGGCTTCCAGAGACCTGCTGGAGTTTCAAGGTGGGGAGGGGGAACCAGCTGAGTTTATGGAATGTGCACCAAGTACCCCTTGGAATAGAGGCAGGGCCTGATCTTGTCTGAGAAGACACAGGACTATGATGGGGGTAGGGTCCAAGAACCCAGTGGGATGGATGGAGCAGACCCCAGGATGCAGGAATCTAGTCAACCCCCCCAAAACCCCAAAAGGGGCCCCCAAAGAAGTAAAAAGCAGGGAAGGAGAAAAAATATTAGGGAGGCTGCAGGGCCCAGCTTCATTTTTAGGCCAACTCAGAACCACATTCCCTCTGGCTCTAGGGAAGCCTCTTCCACTGTGACTACACCCCTGACCAATCCCAGAAGGATCCCTAGAATCACTGCCCCAATCTGGTTGGGTCTTGGGGCAACTGTGAACAGTGATGAACAAGAAGTCTCAGGTCCTCAAGGGGGAGGGCACCACTCCTCCAAGCCTTTGCATTCCTTTTTGCTGGTAAAGCATAAGCCTTCATCCCATCAGCATCAATTAAAAATGCCCCAGCCCTCATTTTAAAAACTTGAGCCTGGAACTTGGGGAGGGCTCTCAGAAGCACAGAGAAACATACTGCTCTTGAAATGGACATGCTTATGGAGAGAGGCCGGGGGTAGGTCTCAGCAGCTCTGGCCACCCGCAACTCTCTTCCAGAAAAAAGCCCCAGCCCAGTGTCTTCAAAAGTCACTGGAGCACAAGGGAGGGAAAAAGGGAGACCTCTGGCCAACCCTAGCCATTCCAGCAGTCCCCACTCTTCTGGCTGGGATGGGACAAGGAGGGGGACACAGTGGCTGAGGCTGCCATAGAGCTGGCAGGAAGTGTGCTGAGTAGGTCCAAAGTATGCGTGCGCTGACACAGCAGCCCTAATGTGGCCATCCTCTTACCCCGCCCTGGGTTCCCACGGGAGGACCCCAACCCACCCAGCCCTCCCCAATCATCGTCAATTCTGGTAAAACGGCAGAAGCTTCTTAAATTCTAGATGCAGGTTACATGGAAGGCCTTATGGGTTAACTCAGGAGTTCACTAATTCTACTGTCTCCATGCAGTCCGGGAAATGGAGGGGCAGCTGGCCCAGCCTAGCTGGCTGCAGTGTCTGCACATGTGTGCGGCCACGTGTGTACGTGTGAGTGTACACATCTCTACAGGGAACCCCCTCCCCGCCTGCTTTCCCCCGCCTCATCCTAAGTTGGATTCAGTCAGTTATGTTGATTCTTCCCTCCCATATGGCTGGCCCAAGTGGGCTGCCTGAGGTGACCCCACTTAGAGAAAGGGGCCCTTACTGCCAAGAAGTCCCACCCCCCTCCCATTTGTAGGATGAGTGTGGAGGCCCCACCCACCTGCCCACCAATGGCCTGCCACACAGGCCAGGCATGGCAGGTAGATGGGCAGGAAAGGCATCTGGATTTGGGTCCCACTCATTCCTCCCTAACCCCCCTGGACCAGGGCACGGCAACTTCTGGACGCAGTGTGCTCCCCAGCCACTCTTCTGATGACGACGCAGACAGAAACCTGCAGGGAGAGGAAGGATCAGGGCCTGTGCTCCCTCAGCCCAGATGACAGCACAGCCCCCTACATGAAGCCTCCTCACCTGGCAGTCTCAATGCTCCTCTAGACCCCGTAAAAGGCAGCCAACCTCTCCTTGAGCAGCGGCGGGAACTGCTCTGAGAACTGCTGCCAGTTTTCCTCCCCAACTTGGTCTTTGAAGCCATGGAGAATCTAGGGGTCCAGGAAGGGCACCCAGAACAGAGCAGATGAACTCAGCCTCTCCCCTCAGAATCTCCCCCTGCCGTGTCCTGGGACTACATCAGGGCAAAGTGAGAGCCTCACCTTATAAAACATGTCCCGAAGGTCATCCTTTGGGCTCACCCAGGAGGCTACAGCATCGCAGAAGAAAATAAAGTCCTGAAATGTGACAGATCCCATGTGAGGGGCCGCCCAAACCCAGCCCCAGTGCCTTCCCTCAGAGCCCAGTCGCCCCAACCTGCACAACGCCCCCAGGGTTGACGCCTATCATCATGCAGATGCCTCGGAAGGCTGAGTCCTTCTCCTCATTGTCCCTGATGTTCCTGAGGGATGTGCACCTGTGGGGAAGGTGAGCAGGGGGAATCAGCCAGCAGGGCTGGGGCAGGAGGGGCATCCATAGGAGTAGTGGGTGGAGGGGCTGGGATGGGCTATATGTCTAATGGGGCAAGAAGGAAGCAGGGGGTTAGTGGGTGATGGGGCTGGGCATGCATCTGAGGGTAGGCAGGGCTGGGCGGGCACAGGCAAGGGACCAAGTTGGGCCTGTCCCACCCACTCTGCTGCCCTGCACACCCTACAGTAGGCCCCACACAGGTGAGCACACACCAAGGCCGGATGAACTGCTGCAGCATGGGTGCCACCTCCTGTGGGCACACGTAGCCCAGGCGGCCAATGGTGATGGCTGGAATGGCAGAGGGACTCGTCAGGCGACCTGCAACCCCGAGCGGCCCCGGGACGGTACATGGCGGGGCCTCTGGCACCAGGCACCAGCCCCGCCCCACGGGCCCCAAGGGAATAGCTCCAGACACCAGGGCCCCAGAGCTTGGCCCAGCCTGGGTCTTCCCCCGAGGCCAGCATTATCTTTCTTGCCTCACCTCCCGGAACCCTTTCCAGGTCCTTCAAGATACCTTCCCTGGTTCTTTCCCAAGGCCATTTAACTACACTCCCAGACAAGAAGCCCACCTCCTCACCCACTGTGCTGCTGGCTGCCTTCCGGCAAGTGATAACACTCATTACCCCTGATATCAAGGGGGCACAGCAGCCCAGACCTGGCGCCCACCTGTATTTTCCAGCAGCGTCTTGGGTGTGTTGGGCCGGTTAATGATCTCCACCAGGTTGTTGAGGACCATCTGCACATAGGGCTGCATCTCTGCCCCTGGGGGACCAGACAGTCAAGAGCCACACACAGCCCATGCCACTCATGCCAACCACCCCAGTTGCATCAAGACACTGGTCAATTACATCCAGTGAGGGAGCAAAAAACCTTCTTCAGCTGGTTCCCAGGCCAGGACCCATAGGCAGACCCACACCCTCTAAACACCAGAAGCTTCCCTAGAGTCACCACTGAACACCAAAGTGAGGCCAGATGACCCAGCTTCCCTGTGGGGAGAGGGCGGAAGCTGCCAAAGTCTCCCTACCAATCCCAGCTGGCCTTGCTGTCAACTGCATTTGGGTTAGGGGGTGGCAAACAGTCCAATTAGAACAGGACTCCTGTCCTGCCTCTTTGCAGAAGCCAATCACAGATGGCCTTTCAGCCATTCGGCACATCTCTGGTGAAAATGCTCAGAGGTTCCCTCTTGCCCTTGGCCCATGGGA